CTTCCGATCTTGAGCCGGTCGTGACTCATATATATATGTATATATATATATATATATATGGTAACACTTTATTTTAGGGTCTCTTAACTAGTTGCTTATTAGCATGCATATTACTAGAATATTAGCCATTTATTAGTAGTAATTAAGCACATATTAATGCCTTATTCTACATGACCTTATTCTACATCCCTAATCCTACCCACTACCTAAACTTAACAACTACCTTACTAACTTTTAATAAGCAGCAAATTAGGAATTTATTGAGGGAAAATTCGTAGTTAATAGTGAATAAGTGTTCCCTATTCTAAAGTGTTACCATATATATATATATATATATATATACTACTCACAAAAAGTTAGGGATAATCGACTTCCGGGTGAAATTTCAGTATGCACCTAAGATGCACTATAACCTTTACAGGTGAAATTAATTTGACCTTCTCTAAACTTTTAAATGCACATGTACAACTGTTAAATGTTTCAGTACTTTTTGCATAGCATGCTGTTCTCTAACAAGGTGATTAACCGCAAAAATCACAACAAGTGTCTGATCCATGAATTAACCACTAAATGTTCTGGTTCAATGACAATTTGTATTTAAACAGTCCTCTTTGACCATGCTGCTCACATTTTGACATCATGAGACCAAGACGACACCTAACAATTTATCAACAGTACCTGGCCATTGCGAGGCTTCAAATGGGATGTTCTCAGAGGGAAGTTGCCACTGAGCTTAAAGTGTCACAGAGTGTCATCAGCAGGTTGCAACAGAGACAGAGAGACTGGAAGAGTCACAGAAAGGCATAGAAGTGGACATCCTTTGGCCACATACCATGCTGATGACCGTTTCATTGTGAACAGTGCCCTGTGGAACCGGATTATGAATGCAACTCAACTCCAGGCACGTTTAAGGGAAATGAGAGGCACCCGAGTGTCACATCAGACCATTCGAAACCGCTTACATCAGCATGGTCTGCATGCTAGATGACCTGCAAGAGTTCCTGACCACACCACCAGGCACAAGCGTCATCGTCAGGGAGCATTTGTGCTAGACGAGGAACCAGTGGGCCTCAGTGCTGTTCTCTGATGAAAGTCGATTCACATTAAGCAGAAATGATGGCCGCCAATGCTGTTGGAGACGTCAAGGAGAATTCTATGCATCAGCCACTGTTGTCTGGTGTCACAGTCTGGACAGGTGTGTCTAATCAATACAGAACTGCCCTACACCTTGTGAATGGTACTGTGACAAGCCAATACTACCTGAATAACATCATTAATCCAGTCATTGTGCCTCAACACAGGCCTGATTTCATCTTCATGGACGACAATGCCCCAGCTCATTGAGGTCGCATCATCAGGGAACGGCTGCTGGAGGCTGGGGTACTTCAAATTGAGTGGCCCGCACTTCCTCCAGACCTGAATCCCATAGAGTCCCATAGAGTCGTTGTGTAGAGGGTCATAACCCTGCACCCCAGAACCTCAATGACCTGAGGGCAGCCCTTCAAGAAGATTGGAATGCTATTCCTCAGCATAAGTAAGTCAACAGAAAGTCGACTATTGTACAGCATGAGATGTCGTTGTCAAGCTGTAATTGATGCTCAGTGACACATGATAAGTTATTGAGACATTGACTTTTTTTGTTGTGGTATACCTACCACTGTTGATAGCTTTTGTTTCAATAAATAGTTTGAGATGAATAAATTACCATTGAATGCTCCTACTTAAATGGCCTTCTTTCATGATATAATATCACTGTAGCATGTACTTTTTCCATTTTCCATAAATTTCACCTGTCGAATATCCCTAACTTTTTGTGAGTGGTATATATATATATATATATATATATATATATATATATGTGTGTGTCTGTGTGTGTGTGCGTGAAATAAAACAATCACAGATTTTCAATTAGATAAATTATTACATCAAATAATTATCTAAATCAAATAATATTATAATTTTATCAAACATCATTATTCTTGTAGGAACTGAACCCTGCAGGGACATGTAATTGTCTACTTTTTAGTTTGTTTGTTTTAATTTAGTTGCAATTTAGTTTGATTTTTATTTTCAATTTCTTAAGGTACAATTATTATCTAATTATAGCTATTTAATATTATATTTGAAAGCCATCATGTATACTTAAATTGTAAATGATCAGAATTGTTTTTAATGATCCGTCTTTTGTTTATTACTTATTAGTAATAATAACAGAACATTACCATATCCGTTTTTGTATACGATGTACTTTGTATTTTGTATAAAAGTATTTTTTATTTTTATTTGTATTTTTTTTTACTTATGTTTAAAATCTTACATAAAGATTTTAGGGCATAACTACTCATCAGACTTTATTTTAAGGCCTAATTCTCGCTATTAACAAACCATTAGCTATGCCTTTTGAACACAACTAGAAATCAGTGGTTAGGTTGTATTGACAACACTGTTCCAGAGCAGTTCAACCCAAATATTCAGATGTGTGCAGCACATTTTACGGAGGACTGTTTCCTGATCCTGGAAGAGTAGACTACAATGCCGGCTGTTCTGACTCACATACTGTAAGTAGGTTTTCATATTTAAAGAATTTGCCACTGATGATTCAAACGCGAGTTTTGAGCAGTGTAGAGCAGCGCTTGTTGTTTGTCATTTCTCCGATCACAAATGCAGACATGGTTTTATGTTTACGTGGCGCGATGCAATGCGTAAAAAGACAGTATAAGTCATTATAATCCATAATTATGTCCCCACTGGATGCGACAAATGCCTCGTTTATAATGGGTTTTAATGTTTTTGTCACGTCGCTCCGGTGACATCAACAGGGCATCACAGTATGGTAAGGGGCGTAACATTTCCGTCACACGCTTGAGATATTCGGCCAATCACAAAGCACTGGATAGCTGGCCAATCAGAGCACACCTCGCTTTTCAGACCGATGAGCTTTGTAAAAATCGACGCGTCTCAGAAAGGCGGGGCATAGAGGAGAAACAATAATGTACAGTATGTGGAAAATAATGTGTTTTTTAAAACTTAAACCGCATAAACATTTCATTACACCAAATACACAAAATAATGTTCTTTTTAGCAACATCATATGACCCCTTTAATAGGTAGTAAGGTAGTTGTTAAGTTATTGGGTAGGATTAGGGATGTAGAATATGGTCATGCAGAATATATACTTTATAAGTACTAACAGCCAATATGTTATTAACAGTCATGCTAATAAGGACTTAGTTAATAGTGAGAATTGGTCCCTATACCAAAGTGTTCAGTGTTTTATTTTTGCACCTCTTTATGCAGCAATAATAATTTTTAGATGACGAACTGAAGATAACCACAGCTGTGAATGGTAAATTGTGGTCAAGGAAACATTCAATATTCAGTATTGTTTCTTCAATGCAAACCAATCCACAGTATATCGACTTCAATACAAATAGTTTTCTTCTTCATATATGTATTCCATTCGTCCCTTCAGCAACCATTATTCCTTTAACACAAAAGTCAGTCTTCACAGTCTTGGGTGGTTTGGGGATTCTGACTGTAACGTTCAAACGGCCTTGTTTCTGCTTTCAGCACATGTTGCGTCCTCTCCCTTATATCTTTCTCGCTTAAACGAATAAATTCTCACCGTGGGCTTCACAGGCTGCAGTTCAGCCATTCGAGACAGACAGAACAGTTCTGTTTTACAGTCTCGGCTGCACATTCCCACCCAGCCCACGTGTCTGAGATGAAGCTTTACATCTCCCTAAAGGTCAGAGCTACTGGAAACTGGATCAATGAGTTTGAACCTCTAGCACAGATCTCAACCTCACATGTGACGCTTGAGTCACTCTGGTAGTGATTATGCAGAGCTCTTTGATGACCTCGTTGTTCAAGTCTTCACTGGAACAGGAATAACTACATGTATTGACTAAGAAGTCGATCTGTCTGTTCAGCCAATGGCTCAGCATGCCGCTATTAATTATGGGAGAGTGACCACCAACTCCTGAAATATGAAAAAAAGAGCTGTTCTTTGTGCTTTTAGAGTTGCGATGAAATGCAGATCTTTTCTGCCGCATTGTGACAAATTTAAGTCTAACAGATTGTCAAAAAAGAAAAAAATATATAGGGCGAGAACTTGTTTCTGTTCATCGGTTGATGATTGGATTTTGAAATATGGGCATTTTGCTCAAAAATGGGAGGCGAATGAACGTCGGTTTTAAGTGACTAAAGTATTGGTCCTGCATACATGACCAGTTATGACTTTTTTTTTTTTTTAAATGAAACATGCACAAACAAATTGTTCACAATATGATCTATAACATGGATTGAGAATAAAGATTTCATGCCAACTTTAAAAGGACAGTTCAGTCAAAATGTTAAATTTGTCATTATTTATTGATGTTCTAAACTCATTTGCTATGCCATTAGTGCTCAAATCTCATTTGTGATTGCATTCACATTCAAAATAGCACACTGGCAACTAGGTTTGACATCATGTCGTCACTAAAAGCCACTGCCAGAATCTTCTGAATGAAGAATTTAGCGATTTGCAGTGGAGTGGAATATTTTTGTAAATAGTGGATTCAATTTTGGTCAGAATTGGTAAATGAGTTGTATTGGCCAAATGTAATGCACAAAAGCAAAACAAGAATATTTGTGCTATAGTGCAATATATTTCAGATGCTCAGCTCTCAGAAACTAGCCTGGTCTCATTGTTTATATATACAGTAGGTATTTGTACGTAACATTCACACATTGGGTAGCACGTACAATATCGATGTACTGACAGCTTTGAAAATATAAACATAATTATTTGTTTTCAGCTAAATAAACTATACAAATCCTTTATATCATTAATATACTGTTTTATAGGTATATTTTTGATCCCTTAACCCTACCACATAACCTAAACATAACCCACCTTTCAACAATATAAAAAATGAAACTTGAAGAAAAATTTGACAGTAATTTTTGTTAAAGCATACCATTATATAGATATTTTTGATTCACTAATCCCTCTCATATCTCTAAAACATTTGTTTAAAAAAAGTAAATAACTTCTCACTATGAACTAACTATTAGCTACGTACGACTTTTGCCTCAATAATCTCCTAATTTGCTGCTTATTAATAGTTAGTAAGATAGTTGTTATGTTTAGGGATTGTTAGGATTAAGGGATCTAAAATATGGTCATGCAGTATAAGGCATTAATGAGTACCTATTTGACACTGTGAAGCTGCTTTGACTTAACGCTTCTTGAGACGGCAAATTTAGCTTTTTAACAAATTAAATAAATGAGCCAACTGCATTAAATAACTGCAACTGAAAATACAATCTCATTTATCATAAACTCACTCAAATCAACTGTTTAATCGCATTAATTAAATATAGAGTAAATTATTCATACACATTTGTTTGTCTGTAAAGTTCATATTTAAATAATTTACATTTTAGATGCTGTAAGTACTCGAATATTGTATGTTTTATTGAACATTATTGCACATTCTGTGCAAATGTGAGTAAATATAGAAGCAAATTTAATGTGAATAACATAGGGAAATGAATAAGATCACATTGCAGTAAAAGAAGGAGGTTTAAGATTGTAATTTCAGCACTGCAAAAACATATTAAATGTCACATTTAAGTAATGTATTTTGCATAGCGGAATGTAATCAAAGGTCAGCAGCAAAACATTGGTAAATAACGTGAGATAAGATTATAACTTTTATTTGGATTGTTTAATATATAATCTCTTTTTTACAGCTTTGCATAAAGTTCAGTGTTTGAAATTCCCTGTGCATTTGATTCATGTTGAGGAATATAGAATCTGTGCAAATGTGACCGGTTAGTGTCACCCAAATTAATTGTTGAACCCAGCTCTTTCACTCGCAAAGATTATCACTTTATCACTATAATTATCACTTTGACTCGCCCTTATTAAAAGCAACTACATGCATTCAATGTAAATGAAAAGTATGCAAACATGTAAAAGATGGAATTCCGTTTTAGAATTAAATACAATATGCAGAATAGAGCTTTTACTGAGTGGCACATTTCATTGCTAGACGAAGAAAAAACATTAACATACTCATGGAAGAAAAAAACCAAAAAACTTTGTCATATGAAGTTCAATCAGTACATCTCAGAATGAGTGTGTTTTTGTTCTTGTTTGATTTATTATTGACCTCATAGCATGCCAGGTTATTGTTGTTGGTTTAGTACATTTTGTTACTATGGCGATCAGAGTGCTATTGTGCTCACAATAGCAGTGAGTGGATGAGGGTGGAGTGGGATTCAGTTAGCGTGATAGCGCTGGAGTAATTACTCTAATTATATGACCAGCAATGTTGCTGCTGCAAAACAAAGATAATCAGTCCCCTTCTTTTTCCAGCTTCGTACACAAATCACGAGAAGAATACTGCAAAGCGATACTATCTAATCTCTTGTAAAGAAGTGCGATTATCTTGTTGTATAAGTCTCTTCTTCAGCTCCGAGCACTTTGGAGCTTTTTCTGGAAAATCTTTCTGTGACGGAAAGAGAAATGAGAAAGTGGGGTGTAGGAAGGTGAGAGACTGAATAGTTTGCATTGACTTCCACCTGCCTCAGGGCTGCATGTTTATTTATTTAATCATTTATTTAGTTCAAACCAAGCAGTTTTCTTCTGTTCGCAAATGTACACGCACTGGTGCTAGTAGGCTAAAAAATAGCACAAATTAAAATGATTATACAGAAGAATATGGCTGAAATTTTTATATTGGTACATTTTATTAATTTATTGCAAATTTTGCAGTAGTGAGGCTTGCAACAAAGTGGTAACCCAATTGAATCTGATTCAAATGATAGCCTTTCAGCATTTGCCACCTTTTGGAATGTATTGTGCATCAACTTGATCATGTATGCTCTGCATCTAAACATGCATTTACATTACCATTGTTTAGTGAGTTTTTGCGAGTGAAATCCACTTATTCAGAATCCACACAGTGGATGAGGGATTTCCCCATGCAGATTTCACACCAGTTCAAATCGGTGGTGTACATTTGCGACCAGCAG